GGACGTGGGTTTGGGGGAGTGTGCTAACTTCTGTAATGTGGTAACTACTTTCTGTTCTCCATTTGCATTGCATACATTGATACCTGACATCTGTGGCCAGGCATTTTTATATCAGTTCTTCTTTCTCAATTATTTTTTTTCTGGCAGCTTTTCTCATCATAAGGTCTAGTGGATCAGTGGTTTCATTAGGCTACACCACAGGACCCGATTCTAAGCCTTGGTGTGATCGACTGTTTTCAGGGAGGGTTGGGCAATGCTGATAAAATTGGCAACTGATGAAGAGGTGGGGAATCTATGAGATGCTAGATAATGGATAAAGCCCCAAAGGCTGGAAAAATCAGGGTTTCTAACATGAAGAAACTGAACCCATATGTTTCTGAACCAGATCCATTTTGCTGGGCACTGAGTATGACAATTACTGAAAAAAAAATGAGTTTTGTAAAAAAGAAAATGTTGGGTTGGAAATGTAGCTTAGTGGTAGAACACTTGCCCAGCATGTGTGAAGCCGGGGCGGGGGGGGGCTGGATTATTCATATGATGGGATGGTCATGTGTCAAAATGAGAAAGCAAGTCTCAAAGCTGCTTTGTGAGAATAGGGTTTGAGAGTGTTTCAGAGCTGAGGTGTGGGGAAAGGTGATTGGATCAAACTTGATCAAATGGCACTGGCTATAGCCAACTAAGAGCAAGTAACTAAGAACAGGTGAATTATTATAAAGGATTTACTTAGGAACCAAGACCAGGTGAGTTGCTCAGATTTTCCCCCAGTTCACATAGGAATGTAAACTCCTGCCCTGCTGTCTACAAAGAACCCCACACATGCTCAGTGTGAGAGATACCAGCTGAGCCAGGGGGCTGGAGCTCCTGGGTGGATCGTCTCTAAATTCTTTGAGTGGAAGGAAGTATAGTTACCCCACAGTGCTCACCAATGCAGAAGTGCCTTTATCCCTGCACAGTATTGTCTTTGGCTATAAAAATGGAATTTCTGTATACATGCTTTAATTTGTTTTCCTATTATGGGTAAAGTTAAGAATCTTTTCCTATTTCCAAGAGCCATTTATGTTTTCTTACCTGTGAATACTTTGCCCCTCACCTTTGCCTAATTTTCCATTGGGCCTTTGATATTTTTCTAAAACAAATCCTTTCTTTTGACTGTGCAATGTTACCACGGTTTTTCTTGGGCCTAAATTTTTATTTTTACAATATTGAGTATGTCAGTATTTTCTTCTGTGGTTTCTGATTTTTCTAACACTCTTCCACTCAAAGATGATGAGAAATAAATCTTTCCCAGTTTTAGTTTTGTTATGAATAAATTCAGCTTTCAATCCCTAGCATTGATTTGCATTTAAGGTATTAGATAGGAACTCGGTTTACTTTTCTCCTGGGTAGCTGCCTACTCACCCAGATGCCCCTTACTGGGGAACTCTTCCCTCCTGATGTACTTTAATACCTGTATCACATAGACCACTCCTTTTTAATTTGCTGTTATTGGTGCTTGTTTGTTGCTCCTCTCCCTACTAGGATATAAACCAAAGAGGGCAGAAAGTACCCAACTATTCTACTGTGCTTCCTTTTTTATTGCTTCATTCGGTTCTTTTCTTCTTTTACTTTGTGTGGCACTGGGAATTGAACCCATGCCTTGGCACTGAGCTATAGCCTAACCATTTTTATAATTAAAATTTTTTGTTTTGTTTTGAAAGAAGTTCCCACTAAGTTGCCCTGGCTGAACTCAAACTTGCCATCCTCCTGTCAGAGTGCTGGAATTACAGGCACATACTGGCATATCCAGCTTCTGTCCTGTTTTTTATTGTGCGCTCTATTTTCTACTTTTTGTTGTGTGTGTGTATGTGGGGAGGGGCAGCCTTGGTATGGATGAGCAGAGAGATGGATGGGTGCTACATGACTTCAAAAGCTCCACATTTCAAAGAAAAAGCTACTAGTCATGCAAGGTACTGGCTCTAACGATGAGAATTTTATCCTGAATCAGGGATGATGATAAAATCGTGACACTGAGGGTTAGCATTGTGGCAGGGCTGGCTTCTGTTACTTTCGGATGACCACAGAGTTTGCCAAATGTTGCATTTTCATTTTGGCTGAGCTCTGAGGTCAGGATTTAGCCTGCTGAAATGGGGCCCATCCTGAACAGAACATTAAGAAACAATCTATATTATTAAAAACAGGGCAAAATTGGTACCTGGGACTCAAAGAGGGATTAAATGGAATTACACAAAGCTAAATACTCATTGCTAAATGAACACATTGAACAGTATTGCTCACTAAAATGCACTGAGCTTAAACAGCAAGGAAGAAAACTGAGAATAACCACATTTAAAATTAGACTTTGGAGTTAAAGTAACTAATTTCAGGCATCTAAATATTGCAGTTTATAATAGTTGTGTCACATTTCTATTTCAAACAGAAATAGACACCATCAGCCGGGTTGAAATGAGGATTCGCACGCGCGCACACACACACACACACACACACTCACACACACGTATTAGCACATGAACATTAGAGACAAATTTATGCCAATTATGAAGGCAGAACATTTTTTCCGAAAGGCAGCTTGATTTGAAAACCTCTGGGATTCCAAAGGCTCAGGGGGATCCTTAGGACTTTTCTTGACTGCAGAAGCTCTGAGGAACTTCTTATATTTGCACATTTTAGGGACAAAAGATTGATTCCTGAATGGAAGGTTTGTTGTCCGCAGTCTCTTCCCAGTACTCTCGTGTCCTTCCCTCCCCGCTTTCCCAGAAGCAGCACACAGGAGCTGGAGTTTGACTTTTACTAGCCTGTGTTCATTTGGAAAACTGTTGCTCAGACTGAATTTTTTTTTCCTTTTTGTTCCCGTGTTGGTGGATGGGAGAAGTTTGATGGAGTCAGGGATGTTTAAGGAGTGACTTGAGGGAGACACTCCATATACAGCATTTTTCTAGTTTGCTGAGATTTGGCTGCTTTGCAGAGCTAAATGTATCATTTAATTTAATAACTACAGTGTCTAGATTCACGAAGTTACTTTTAAAAATTAAACATAAAATACAGATTGTGGAGTTTATAAAGTTCTATGAAGAGACAATGTGTTCTTTTCTTCTAAATTAAATGAGGAATTTACTTTTTGACAGTACTTTGAAGCCTGCATATTTGATAATTTTGATAGAAGCACAGTTAGAATATTATAAAATAAACAGGAACAACCCTAAGCGTCAAAAAACATTTGCTTTTCACTTTACTTTTTGCCACTCATGATGACTCAGTCTACAGTTTTCCTGGCATCTGAACTTTTAGAAAAATATTTTTTCCTACTTCCAATAAGTGAAATAAATGCCAAATGCAAAGCTTGTTTCAAAAGTCTCTTGTCTAATTTGACAAGGACATATCTCTCCTAAAAGCATTGTATCATGGCCATGATTTTTTTTCAGATGGTAGAAATTAATTGCAAGAAGTATTCATTTTGGAAAATAAGTGGACATTTCTGAGGACCAATTACTTTCTGTTCTATTCACTGTTTCTCCAAAGAGAAAGATGTTTATTTTTCTCTATGCTCTTGTAATATTTTCTCCTCTTTATGTAGCAGTAGAGAAGTCTGCCACTTTGAAGCTACTTTCCTTCAGCTCATCTCCCTGTTATTTCCCACCTGGGCTGAGTCGTGGTGGAGCTGCATTTGCTTCCAAGTGTTCCCTTCCTGTCACCATCTGTGTGGTCTTCTATCACCTGGATTTGGATCTCAGCAGCCCCCTCTCTTGTCTTAATGCCTCACTCTCCCTATCCTCCTGGCTACCTCGGGTCAGCCCCATGTGTGAGGCCCCTCTAGTCCCTGTCAGTGTCCCTCAACACTGGGGACACTCTTGTCCTCAACTGGTGACACTGCTCCATGTACCTGCTCTGCCCCTAACCTCATTTTAGGCCCATTTATATGCCATGGAGCTCCTCTCCTCTATTAAACCCTCTTGATTTCATAATATAGCTGCTCCTTGACTTAGAAACCTACCATAAGTTGAAAATCTATTAAATAAATGCATGAGTACACCTGACCTGTGGATCATGCTGGCTAGGGACACAGCACACTGAAGAGTGTGGGATATTCACTTTATGATCTCCAGGCTGACTGGGAGCCTGGACTCACTGCCACAGCCCAGCATCATAGGACAAGATGGAATGGATGGACCTGGAGGTCATCACGTTAAGTGATATAAGCGAGACTCACAGACAAGTACTGCATGGTCTCCCTTATACGTGGAAGCCAAAATAATTGACCTAAGACCTGAAAGTAGAATAATGATTACTACAGGTTGGGAAGTACTGAATTTTGTGGATAAAGGGAGGCTAGATTTGAGCAGTGTGCACTGTATGCATATGTTGAAATATCACACTGAACCCCATTTATATGTACAATTAATGTATGTTAATCAGAAATAAAATAAAATATTTAAAAGAAAACTTTCTACTGGACACAGAACACTTTAACATCCTTTGTAAAGTTGGAAAATCCAAAGTGGAATCATCATGAGTTGGGGGCTGTCTGTATTTGCAACTGCAGAAGCTGGGAATCAAGTTCAGCATCATAATTCTTTTAACCAAGTTCTAACTCAATTGAGAAGGATCTTGATCAATAATAGTGATTGAGTGGGTTTGGCCCCAGCACCGTACCCACAGAAATGAAGATAAAATTGGGAAGAGTGCATTCTGGGGTGCTGATTTTAAAAACTGGAGTGTTAACTGATTAGGAAAGAGAGAAAGACGTGGCATTAATCATCTTGCATTTTATCATGCAGGCACCACAATGAAAAGAGCTAGAATATAGCCAGAGAGAGGTTTTAAGATGCCTCATTTGTGTTTAGTTTTACTTTGTGCGGGAGGGATGGGTACCTCCCCTCTTGACAGCTCTGTTTTCTATGCTGAAATAAGCAGGTAGTTGTTTCTTCAGTATGTTTGGAGAGTCCCTGCGTTATATAATCCCGATTGGCACATGGTAAATGGATCTCTCTTCCTGTCCTCCCAAGGGAAGCCATCAGCCGTGTTTGTGAAGCTGTGCCTGGTGCCAAAGGAGCCCTCAAGAAGAGAAAGGTACAGCTCCTGACATTGTGGGTCTGGTTTGTCTTCCTTGCTTCTTCTCTCCTGTTACTCCTCCTCAAACACACAAATGTTCATTGTCTTCTCTCCAGGGCCTGATTCTCCTCCTCTCTGAAAGCAAAGAGGCTGAGATTATACTCTTTCACATGGCTGAAAGCAGTGAGCTGTCACTGCTGACCAATAGCAGATACCCTGGTCACTTATTGTGGCTTAAAGACACCAATGACAGCAAGCACTCGGCCAGGCTGTCCTTTAAGTACTTACATTAAATCACATAATCATAACAACTCATTGGGGTAGATCTCCAGCAAGTGCTGATAAATGTGTATCAAACAGCTCTTGGGATTGGGCACTTGTAGCATTTGCCAATTTCTGTGGTGTATATATTTCCAAATGGGTAGTGGACTGCAATCTTCCAACATGATGTCCCTGGAACCAGAGTCCATAAGACTTGTAGTAAGTAGCTCATCATTAGATAGTGTTCCCACTACGCAGGCTTAGCAGATATTCATAATGTAGCAAAAACCATTAGAATTAGAAGAGTATTGAATATTTATTGTTTTTAAAATATAATCTAATTAGGAGTTTGCATAAATCAATTTTTAATGACAGCTGTGTTTAATGGCTAGCTTGTACAGTTCCTAAAACTTTTAATAGTTGGCTCTCATTAGCTGATACAAACCACTGGAGCTCCTGGTATTACAGATAATAAAGACTGAGGCATAGAGATGAGAAGCCGCAGTTTGAGTAGGAGAGGAGCTGAGATCAAGCTCAATCAACTGTCCCAGAGGCTGAGTTAAACTTCTCATCTTGAATATGGTTGGACTAGAAGAAAAAAATCTGAATTAAGAGAAATCACAGGAAAACCCTTTTTAGTTAAGTGTTTAGTAAATACATAATTTCAATACCCACAATCATGGGCTTTCCTATGCCAAGATGGAATTGTGGGGAAGGATACATTGGTGAATCCCGAAACTGCCCTGAAGACAATCCTTTTGGATTCCAGACCATTTGGACAGTTGCTGGCTTGGCTGTGTTATTCCCAGGGCTCCAGGTCACACCTGTTTTCAGAGCTAGGGGACATTCATGAATGCACAGGGCAAATGAATGTCAGGCAGAGAACTATGGGAGACAGCTCAGGTGTGCCAAGCCTGCATTCCAGCCACTCTCCGGAGATATTGAGGACGAAGAAGAGCTCCAGAATCTTGAAAGCAGGAGCTAGGCAGGCATCAGGGAACCTCATCTCCAACAGTTAGGTGGTACTAACAAGTTTTGGGGTACAATCATGGTCCTCATGGTGGGAGGAGGTGGAAAGAGTGCCGATTTCTGGGCTTCTCCTCAGGTGTGCTTGACCTGAATCTCAGGGCCATGTCTAATTTGGAAGAGCTCTTTCAGCAGAGTTAACTAAAAATAAGATTGGCACAGAGATCAAAGGAAATAGCTTTTATCTGGGAACTAAAGTGCTCCAATTCTGGCACACTGAATCAGGGCAGCCCTGATGGTCCCCTAAGGCAAGTGCAGGCAGGAGTTTTTCATAGGTGATTTCCATAAAAAGTTGTTCAGGGAGGCACCTTATTGGCTGGGAAGAAACCCTAAATGGCAAACCATTTCTGACTGGTTACTTAATTAGGGTACCCCTGATGGAGAGACACAAAAGTTTGCTGGAGGGATACTGATTTTGGTGGCTTCTCCCAGTCTGCTGCAACATTCTGGGTTTGACCTTCAGCAGGTGGAGTGCAACCCTCAGAGTCTCCCAAGTTTGCTTTAGAAAGCTTTAGTCTTAGTTACGTCATTTTCTTTCCCAGGAGTTTGAAAAAGTGTATGTCTAGTTAGGAAGTAATTGGCATTTTGAAAGAGGATGTTTTAATCCAAATTGAAAGGATGGGTTAATCCCAAAGGACAGAGACATGAAGGTTGGCAGTACTCACCCAGGGACCTGTGGAGAAGACACCTGGCTAGCAAATGTGTCCCCTTGATTCCTGGGATGAAATACCTTTCGGGCAGGGTGATGGGCACACCACTTACAGCCAGCCTGTGTCTGTCATCTGTGCTGGCTCCAGGCTATTGGTTCTAACTGGACAGTGTCTGTGCTCCCTGACCAGGAAGCTGTTTGTGAAAAGGATTTGTGGCCCATTCCCTTTAGCCATGAGCATGGTCACAGCCTGCTGAGATTGCTTGTCTCCTTCAGTTTTCCCTGAGAGGTAGTCTTCCCTTCGTTTGCTGAAGCCAGTTTCTGAGTCTGCAAAGCTGTTCTCTCCCTGGTTTGTGGCATTTCTCCCAGGTTTACACCTAAAGGGCCCCCATGAGATTTCCCCATGTAGGCAGAGGTGGCCAGGAAGAATGAGATCTCTGCTCTCAAAAGCCTTCATTTTGGTATTTGCATATTATATCTTTTGTAGTTTGTACAGTGCATATTATAGAATGTGAATATGAGCATTGGATCTGCCCTCCCAGCACATTAATTTCACTTTTGTCTTCCTGTGCCTGAGCAGGGGAGGAGCAGTCAGGGTGGTTTGAAAGTGTAGTCCACATCCAGGCTTCACCTGTTTAGATGAGAACAACACATTTTATTTATTGGAGGCCCTGTCACTGAGGCCTCCATAAGCAAAAAAAAAAAAAGCTAAAATGCTCTCAATTTCACAGCCTCCAAGCAAAATGCTGTCCAGCATCCTGGGAAAGAGTAATCTCCAGTTTGCAGGGATGAGCATCTCTCTGACCATCTCCACTGCCAGCCTGAACCTGCGAACGCCTGACTCCAAACAGGTGTGTGCTCACTCCAACCTCCCGAGAGCTTTACAGAGAATGTGTTTTATCAGTTTTTGACTACTCTATGTACTTTAGCCACTTTGATGGGTTACCAATAAAATGATGGATGAGATTAGTTGTCTTTAATTCTGCTATAAGTTACCTTTTGAGGGAGAATAATGCATCAAATTGTTGGTTTACTTGCAATGTAAGAAAAGGTGATATATGTGCAAATGTCTTCTCTTAATGTCCTTACCCTTTTGTAAGCACGGTTTTATTGGTTTTCCTAGACCACATTTTTATTTTATCACTTTTTAAATGGATGGCATGTCATGGTCTCATGACAGGAGCATTTCTTCCTTGGAGGTTTGTCATGTTGAAGGAGCCTACAGTTTACAGTGTTGTAGGGTTCATGAGATGTGTTATATCTATAGCATAGACAGGCTGGAATGAGTTCTGAGCTGAGCAAGGCAGCACAACCATGTTTATTATGGCTAATTCCATTTAGGAGGATTGTGCTCCCATGCAGAGTCTGTCTTTTGGGTTCCTCTGATCTATCTATTGGTTTCTCCAGCAGGAAAAACGGTATGTAAATAACTGCCCTGTCTACCAGCACAACAGTTCTGAAGGTCAAAGGAAGCAGAGGAGGTGAACATGTTTGTGCAATATAAAGGGGGGCATGGAGTGTGGACATCTTCCAGCTCTGCCCAGACTCAGCCTCAACCGCTGGCAGTGAGAGCTAGAAATTGTGGAAATCATGTGACTTCATCTGTTCTTTTGTGCTGGGGATCCCTCCCTAATCCGTTATCTTGTCACATAAACTCTTCTACTGATCGATTTAATGAGCCCTTGAGGCTGTGGGTAAGGTCAGCCACTCTCCGCCGAGGATAGTCCCCACCCCCGTGCACTGCTGCTTACCAGTCCAGTCATCTGCCACATGGCACGTGGGCCTTCTGGGTCTAGGAGCCCTGGGACTAAAGCCCTTCATTCTATGGGATCCTAACCCCAAATACTCCTCATCCCCAACCTCTGTAAAAGAGAAAGGCAGTGAGGATGATGCCAGGAGGGTGGGCCTGCCCCATCCTGGGACAGGGGGCTGGCTGGGTGTGTCCAGCTTGGGTTTTCTGGCCCATGAGCTGTGTGGGCCTGAGGCATGGACACCCAGTGGCTGCTGGCCCCTTGACAAGGGCACAGTCTGGGGCTAGTTGGGCAGAGGGCAAGTGCAAAGTTCTACTCTCCAGTCTGCTGACTTTCTGTTCAGAATGTAGTAAAGTGGGAATGGTCTGGGGAGACATTCCCTTCTCTCTCCAGAGAGCAGACAGGCAGCGCCCACTCCACTCTACAGTGCTAAGGAGGAGAACGGTGATGAATCCCTCAGAGCAAAAGCATATGTTATAGATCAGAGTCAATTAGCTCTCATTTTCTTATTGCCCTTTGCAATTTCTCTGTTGCATGAAGGGATTGGATGCAATCACACAATAATGGTCCTGCATCGTATTGACCAAATATCCCTTCCACTTTTTCCTCTAAATTGTAGCTTCTGTTCATAGTTAATTTCTAAACCACAGTTTTGGAGCTGCCTTATAAGCAGAAATGAGATAAGTAAAAAATTAATTATGCAAAAATTACAAACTAGTTTGTCATTCTTTAGGAATTCTATTTCCTCACTGTTCTCTTAGGAGCTGTTTGCCTGTGGTCCAAAGGCAACTATTATTGGTTTAAGTCCCTAAGGGCCTGGCTAAGACTGTCCTGTGAGCTCTGTTGCTTTGGATTTACTTATATATTCAGGTTTTCCTAGATCCTGAAATTCTGCAAATGCCAACAACTGAAGTAGGCAGTTAAACATATTTCATTTTATCTTATAATTCAATTAAATTTTATTTCAAAGTTTTGCAGAAGCACATTTGGAAAAATCCCTTGGTTGTTGTGATGATGGCTATGTAAATTCCAGCCATCTGCTCAGGGACAAGGGCCTGGGTACTGTGCAGAAATAAACCTAGTTGTGTTGGGATGGAGACAAGAGCTATTCTCCCACCCCTGGAAATTTACTTCAATGTCATTACATTATCTTTAAAGAGATAAAAATAGCTTAGAAGACTCATGTAGCTTTTTAAATTTAGGGCAGGTTCTAATTTACTCAGTGTCTACTAAATTCCACTGTGTGCTGCAGTTTATAAAGCTAATGGAAATTTCCCATTTTAAAAATTAACTTGGAATGTCCTCTCTGGTTTTTAAGTTGATAAATTGCAAAATGCTTCAGATGGCAGTGACTTTGAATCTTGGCTTTCTGATTTATATGTGCGGGTACAAATGGGATGAAGAGAGAGAATGAACCACACTCTCCCTCATCTTGCTATAGCTATGGGATCTGTAGTGCTGTGCAAAACAGAAGCCATAAGTGGCAATATTTTGGTGGGTGGGTGAGACATTTTCCTTCTGGGAGAGGTACAGTTGGTTGCCAAGACCCTGGCTGGAGACTGTGTTGGAGTACAGGTCTGTGACTATGATATGAGCCCTCTCACACCCAGCAAACCTCCTCGATCCTCCCCAGTCAAATGGGTTTCTGATGGTTTCTGCTTCACGACTGGTGGCTAGAAGGATTAAAGGAGGTTGTTCTAGCCAGCTAGCTACATGGCAGCCATTGGGCTGTGAAGGATCGTGAAACGTGATCTATTGTCATGCATTTCCAATTGTTACTTTCATATGTGTACCATATATCAGGAAAACTTGCCAATTTGTATTGCTTGCCAACAAACAGTTGGTTTTGCAAGGTGTAGAAAAGGGTACTGATTACACATTTTGTTTCTTGTTTTGGGCCTGCCAGATCATTGCCAACCATCACATGCAATCCATCTCCTTCGCCTCTGGGGGAGACCCGGTAAGTCCCTTAGACTCCTTTATCTTGCTCTTGTTGGGGATTTCTGAGAAGGGGACCCAGCTTCAAAAACCCTTAAGACATTATCAAAAGTTAATTGTGATGTCAACTATTTCCTTCTCTTGATTTCAGAAACTCTTCTTGACTATCGTTTGGAAGGGGGACCTGAGAAAAGGACCTACCATTAGTTTTCATTTCATTAGCCAAAAGCTGTTAGAAAACTTTTTAAAAATTGGCCTTCTTTAAACACTGCCAGTTTTCAGAGTTGCTGGGGTCTTCTCACATAGGCATTCTACACTTGCCTTGCTTGCCTTTTCTTTTTCCTTTTGGACCTCCAAGCCCAGGCCCTGCTCACCATGTGCTCACTGTGGACATCCGGCCCTGCAGAGAAGTCTGTCAAGAAGTCACCAGAGTGGGGTGTACAGGGGGAGGGGAAAAAACAAGGTCACTCCTTCCCAGCAGTGAAGGCTCATCACTTACTTCCTTTCCTGCCCAAATGTTGTTATGCTTGCTTTTGCTGGTCTGGGTGAAAGTTTTCATCTGTCCAGAAAAAATGTTTTAAAATTAAGAAGATAAAGTGAAAAGTTGGAGTTAAATTTATTCAATTGAAAAAGATTGTGCTGTATTCTATTAATCAGCTTTCCCATTGCTGACACCCGCAATTTAAAAGAGAAGAGGTTTAATTGGCTCACAGTCTAGGGGATTCAGTCCATGGTTGACCAGCTCCAAGACAGGGATATCATGTAAGGATGAAAGAAAGCAAAGCTGCTTGGTTCATGTCAGCTGGGAAGCAAAGCAGGGGAACAGGAGTGGACAAGGGATCTGATGTGGTACCCAAGGCCACCCACCTGTGACTTACGTAGATGCACCAGGGTTTGCTTTACTAACCTGCTAGGTGTTTTTTAATCCAATGAAGTTGACTTGTCAGAATTAACAGTCCCATGTATCTTGAGATGTCTTCTTTACTTTTTTTTTTTGGTGTTAAGTAGCTTTTTGGTAATAAAATGATGGTGGCTTATAGGTTGTTGCTTTATATTATTTGGCCAAACTCTCAGTAGGAAGTCCTCAGATTTCATGCAAAAGTGTATTGGTCCAAGATAGCCAATGTAATTGGCAAGTTCTATTCCTCCTTATCTCAAGGCTAGGGACCCTGTCTATTTCTAGTCCCAGGAAGGGGATTTTCTTCATGACCTTCCCACCTCTTCTCTGGACTCCTTCTACTCAGGTACTCAATCATAGAACTGCTGTTTATATACATTCCAGAGCCTCACCATTCCTACTGGACAGTACAAAAGGGTTGCACACAGGTGCTTCTCCTTTTGAAGCTGTGGCAGCTACCAGGGGCGGACACAGATGGTGCTGCAGGGTCCTTCCAGGACTGATGCAAGAGCTGAGAGAGACTTGGGCCTCCCTTCTCCTTCCTTCCCTCCCCTCTCTCCCCCCCCCCTTTGTCTCTCTCTCTCGATGGGATCATAGTTTCTTAAATGTTGAAGGTAACCCAGTTTGAAAAAATAAAGAAAGATGCCTTTTCATCTGTATCAACAGCTCCTTTCAGTAATTCTCTTGAACCTTAATGATATTATGAATGCAGATACAAATATCTTAATAGTGGGAAGACAAATACTTGACTTGGGTTGAAATTACTTTATTCTCCAGGATGTACACAGGACTAGGTATTTGTAAAAATTTCCTCATTAACAATCTGTAATCTGTTACATTTCTGTGACTTTTTTTCTGATATAGAAAAGGTCATGATCCGGGGGACAGCAAATTTCATTGTTTTCCTTTTTTTAAAAAAAGATTTTATTTTATGAAGAAAACCCAAAATTTTATAAATAAATAATATGAGAATAACAGTAGTTATTACACTGTTTATTGTTATCTTCAGAGTAGTTACTCAGAATACAAGATGTAAACCAAAAAGATTTTTACAAAAAAGAAACAAATAAGATAATAACACAAATATTTCTTTTCAACAAACTAAGATAAACTAGTAGTATAAATGAAACCAATTAGGGTCTGTATTGAAATACCTTTACAATGGGAATTTGTAATTTGGGGAGGTATTTGAACTTCTCCTTATTTCCTATTTATCTATTTTACTCTTTTTTGTGTTTCTCACATAAGAGAAATACATACAAGACTGTGCATGAGATCCCATTCCAAATTGGTTTGTACCCAGGATTTTAACACGGTTGATAGGTGTTCTCGATAAAACCAACAATCCTCGATTCTGGGCCTTATTCTCTGCTAAGTGTATGTGTCACTATGACTTTGTTCCTTAGCCTACCCAGTAGGAAAATGGTAGATATAAATGGCAGGTAACACAGACTGAAAAACATCATTACTGTTCTCCAAAATAGGGCACATGACAGCTACCATATGCTGTTATCAGAAACGTTGAAAGACCATCAAAAGATGAAATATCAGGAATGTCAGAAGTTCAAGCCTAGCCTGAGCAACTTAGTAGCTTATCAAGAACCTGTCTCAAAACAAACAAACAAACAAAACAGGCTAATTGGGCATGTGGCTCTGTGCAAAGCCCCTGGTTTCAATCCCCAGTACCACAAAACATAAACAAAAACAAAAAAATGCAAGACCACTAACAGAATGCTCAAACAAGATCAAGCACAAAGGGTCCTGAGAAGTGAGAACAGGGATCGAAGAAATAAGAATAGGCATTTTTCGGCACCCGTTTTGAATTTAGCGCATTCACCGTGTATCTGGGTGATGTCAGGAGCACTGTTTTCAGCCTGCACTCCCCTCCCGTGCTGGAGAAGGCTCAAGAAGGGCATGGGAAGCATATCTTGACCTGGCGATTGGCCATCTCAGGGACATGTCTTGATCTTCTTTCCCCAACTGTGAGCCACAGTGGAGTTTCTCAAGTTAGAGTAAGAGTTTTTAAAAATCCTGTATATACCAGCAGTGCTGATTCAAATTAATTACCTTAATGCGTACAAAATTAATGAATTGACTCTTTGTGTTTATACTTTTTATTGGACCCTAAAACTCAATCAAATTTAGATGGTAAATACAAAGAAACACTGTGAAACCAATAACATTTAAAGTGACATGAGCTCGCCATGGATTAAGTTGGCTGAGCCTGAATCTCTGCTCCCGGACGCCACTGGATAGGCCTCCGGGGTGCAAAGCCTTCGAGTTCAGCATTTCATGGGCATCTGATAAATTAATTCTTCCACTGATTTCTACTACTCAAGATAAACTTCAATTGTGCATCATTATGTACGAATCTCACAGCAACTGGCTTCAAATAGGACAAAGGCACCTGAACTCTCTTCTTTTCTTTCTAGTTTTTTAAAAAACCTAGCACTTATAATAATGTGAGATCAAGTGTAAATTTTGGCCCTGAAATTGCATGCAGAACATGGCAATACTGTGGCCATCTAAATGATCCCAGATTTTCTCATATTGTTTAAGATCACTATGGAGAGGAAAGCATGAAATAGAAAAACAAATTTTGCCAACATCTCATACACTGGAGAATATACTCCAGTCTTCCTTGATTCTCAGTTTGAGAAATCCTGGGACTCTCTAGGATGCTTACAGAGGCTCCTAAAGACCCTTCCAACCCACATCACATGAAGCCAGAAAGAATCTATGATTAAAGCTACACTCTGTGTTTTGGGCAGTAGTTTCAGATCCTTACCAGATCCTCCTGGATGGAAATGCTCACAATTCAGTTTGATGGTTTCACTGCCTCCTTTTCCCTTCCCTACTCAGTTTGAGACAATATTAGTGAACAGGAAAGGAAACTGCTCGGATGAGCCTCACCCTGGGGAATGTCTTGGGGTAACCATGCTGGAAGAGTTCTCCTCCCCCAGGGAGACCTGGGGGTGTGGAAAGCACCCTGCAGCACCCCCATCCTGCACTGGGTGCTCCGCAGTGCGGCACTCCTCATACCACTCTCCTCCAGCCCTCTCTTTTGCAGCATGTTTTAGAGCACTGTTGAGAGCAAAGGGACTGTGGCCTCTGCTCACAGGCATCAAACAATGGAGGGAGTCTCCACAGAGAACACGCGCAGGTGCTGCTGACAAGGGAGCTATTCACTCACCGTGAAGCCACTGCATCCGCTTGAAGCCCTGTGAGACAATAATATATTTGGAAGTAGCTGCAAAAATAGGGCAGTGTTACCAGTTACCCCTCTGAGATTGTTTTTGAATGTTGAAAATGTCAACCCAGCAGAAAAGTCTTTCTGGCTTTCAAGGATTAAGAGAATGATTGGCTTTTCTGATTATTTGTTTAGAAATTAGTATTCACATGGCTGCCTTAGTATAACTTTGTCATCTTATTTTCCACTATGCACTGGGTCAATAAAAAGGCAGACCAAGAAACTCTCATATCCCCTGTACTAGGGACTGAACCCAGGGCTTTGGCAATGAGCTACATCCCTAGCCCTTTTTGATTTTTTTCTGTTTTGATACAGGGTCTCCCTAAGTCACTAAGTCATTTAGGCTGAACTTGAATTTGCAATCTTTCTGCCTCAGACTCCCAAAATGCTGGGATCATAGGGATGAACTACTTGTAATCTTAAAAGATTAAAGTCATTGTTTATGTCCAAGAAGAAAAGAACCATCTTTTCTCATCCATGCATGAGGAAGTGTTTGCGATCAACTTTTGAACATCTGCTTTGGTTTTCTTATAGACCAGTGGTTCTTGGAGCATTGTCCCCAAGCCCAGCAGCAGTTCTAACTTGTCAGAAACCCACTTTTGGGGTTGTAGTCCAGACCCACTGGATAGGAAATTCTGGAGTGTGGTCCAGCAATCTTTTAATAAGCTCTGTAGGGGATTTTGACACTAACTCAAATTTGAGGGTCCCTCATGCAGATATTGCAGGCAGCAGTGGTTCTCAACTTTGGTTCACATTAGTATTACTAGGAGCTTTAAAAAATTCCTGATACCGATGGCTCATGTCCAAACCAATAAGATCAGATTACCTGGGCAATGGGAGTCAGGCGGGCGTCTGTGATTTTAAAGCTCCCCAGGAAATGCAACATGCAGAGAACAGGCCATCCTTGGTGCTCCCAGTGATGCCATGGGCTGGCAGCATCAGTACCAGGGGGACTGGCTGGAAATGCAGAACCTCCCCTGGCCCAGGCATGCTGAGGCAAAAGGTACCCCACAAGATCCCTGAGTGCCCAGGTCAGGTTGGGAAGCTGCCGTAATGGGCTGTTCTGTTGCATTTGACCCCTTAGCTATGTGATGGATTTGTCCTTCTAGGTTTGTGGTTTGTGTGCTGTACCTGTGTGGTACTGCCTCTCACTGTGATGAGTGATACAAATGTCTCATTTTTCCTAAACAGGACACAACAGACTATGTTGCCTATGTAGCCAAGGACCCTGTTAATCGCAGAGGTAAGCAAAGCTTGACCCACATAATTGCTCATTCGTGTATGGCGAGGTTTAATACTGTGAACCAGATATTCCTTGTCACCTCAGCTGCCTTCACCAAAGTGAGCATGTGCCATATCGTGAAGAATAATTAGGGTTTGCAAGGTATGCACATTGCCTGACAGTGGTAGGAGACTCTGGATGTCACTGGGTATCAAGTCCAGATCTGTAACCAGATGGCTACAGTTTGTTACACCTGACTTACACATTAGCAATTCCTATCCATGCTCTGAGTAGCCTCCATTACACCTGGAAGGCTCTACACCTGCCCATCTTCCTGCCTGCCTTCAGCTCCTGGTGTGTGCCCAGTGCCAACTAAACTACCTAAGCCACCTCACATTGCCCTGCTCAGGTCTGGATCCCAGCATCTGAGCTCAGTGTGCTGTCTCCTTGTACTCTGTTGAGCTTCTAGGAGGGCCTCAGAAATAGGCTGGATGGACAGGGCGGGGTGTGTGGGGGGTCATTACAGAGCCAAAGTCTGCTGTATGATAATGACCACAGCTGCCATTGAACCCCATTGATGAAAAGCACCAATGGAATTTAGAACAATTCTAAACAGCACTTCCACTACCAGCTGGCCCTTCCACCATCAACCAACTGCTGATATTCCAGTTTGCTTGCATAATTTTCAAATCCACGCACACATATTTCCTCCTTCTTTTTTAAATTTCAGTACTAATGAGATCTTAGCATTCTGTTTTGCCACCTTCCCCCAACAGTGTATCTTGAATGTATTTTCAAGACAACCCATACAGACAGATGAATTGATTCTCAATGTGGCTCTGCAGGGACCTGCTCAGCACAGACTCCTGCAAACTCCTTTCTCATCCTTACAAATCATGTTTTGTGACTTGACCTAAACAGGCATTTTCAGAGCTACTGGACTGGATAGTCAAGATGTCAATGACCCTTGCATATTGCTCCCCAACCTGGTTGTAAAATTTTGCATTCCCATGTAAGTTCATGAAGGTTATTTTCCTCCTAGGTCTTTACCAAACTTGGATGGTAAAGGCTCAGGTAGAATGTCTGATCCCAGAGATGCCTTGCTAACATAAGCTCTAGCCCACCACTTCTTAAATGGGAGGCAGCTTTTATGTAATGACTGCAGATAGTAGTATTCACCTTGGATGAACAGAGGCAGTCAGGACTGTCACTGGGACCAGCTGAATAAAAGCCCATTTGCCAATTTGGAGACTGGCCTAGAGCATCCAAGTTGGCTTCTCTTCCATGCTGGTGCTTGCCAGAGTTGACTACAAGGCAATATCAGCTGGTCATTCTCCACTCCATGGAGTCCCAGGGCTTCTCTATGGGATGCCCCCATCCTCAGGGCACTACAACTTCCTATACAGCCACTCTGGCCTCCATAAGAGCAAAAGTGGAGGATTCCAGTGTCTTTACAACCAGTTTTCTAATATTTCTATGAAAAAATACTACAAGCAAAGATTCCTGAAACAACAGAATTTACTGCCTCAGAATTCTGGAAGCTGGAGGTCTCAGCAGGATCCTGAGACCCATAGGAGATCTCGCCTTGCCTCTTCCTGGCTTCTTGGAGTTGCGGGTGACTTCAGCACTATGTGGCTTGCAGATGCATTCTGTAATCTTTGATCATGGCACAGCATTTTTCCTGTGTCTTTGTGACTTCACATGGGCATCTTTTTATCAGGATGTTGGTCACATTGGGTGAGGGTCCACTCTACTCCAGAATAACCTTGTCTTAACTATTTATAACCACAATTACCCTATTTCCAAATAAAGTCACATTCTGAGGTCCTGGGGGTTAACATTAAAACGTATCTTTTTGGGAGGGACATAAGAGAATCCCTAATAGAAGCCAACTCCTTTAAACTCTTCTTGGCACCCACCAAGTCAGGGCAGATGGTAGGGAAGGAGAGGTGGCAAGTTACACTTCCCCGGGCACTGGATTCCTAATTTCAGCCTGGGCTTAGCAGCCATTGAAATTCTTTCTCTATATTAGTTTGTTTAAAAATTAATGTCAAGGGATCCTAGCCCTTCTCCCCTTTTGGCAAACCTTTAATTACTCTTAAGTCAATGGTTCTCAAAATGAGCTACATTTGAGAGACACCAAAGGGAGCTTTAAAAACAAATCTCACTGCTCAGGCCTCTGAGAGTGAGGCTCAGATAATGATATTTTTAAAGAGCTGTTGGAGTGATTCCAGTGTACAACTGTGCTGGGAAATAGGGCTTAGGCTTGTGTCTCGAAAGGGTTTGGCCCCCCAGGCATTGGCTTGGCGTCACATAAGGGTATAGCTTCTATTTTGTTTCACAGGGTTGAACCCCATACCCCCTCCTCTCTTTCTCCAGAGTCCTGGGGGCCCTGTGCTCCTGCACCCATGTCAGGCTCAGCATGCAGGAAAGGTGTGCACTATTCTTGGTGCTTTGAGTCACTACCAACCAGTACAGCAGCCCTGTGAAGGTCTGCATGTTTGTGTCTCCCTAAAATTCATGCTGAAATCCAAATCCTCAGTGTGGTAGTATTAGGAGGTGCAGCCTTTGGGAGGTGATTAGGCCACAAGCAGGGAGCTCATGAAGGAGCTTGGGGCCCCATAGAAGAAGCTGCAGAAAGCTCTCTTTCTCCTACATGGGGACACAGCAAGGGAAGCCATCTGCAGACCAGGAAGACAGCCTTTGCAAGATACCAAATCTGCTGGGACCTTGACCTTAGACTGCCAGCCCCCAAAACTCTGAGAAATAAAAGTCTGTTGCTGAAATCACCCACGCCATGAATGGTATTCTGTTAGGGCAATCTGAGCTAAGACAGGCCTTCGGGTGAGATTGCAAATGAGAGACGTTCACTCTTTCAGCTAGTATATTATCTTATGATCTTATGAGAGAATATGGGTCAGTTAGGGTATTCAGGGGTCAGTCAGCCAATTCATCTGCCCATTTGCCTTTACCTGAGGTCACTGAGTAGTCTTTGGCTGGAATCTGAGCTGGTCTAGGGGGTCCAACTTTGCTTCATTTCTCTTTTTTTGTTTGTACTGAGGAACGAACTTGGGACTTTGCACTTGTGAGGCAGGCGGCGGTTCATTTCTACACCTGTTACTTGGCAGAGATGACTAGGAGGCAGTGTCAGCAGGTCCTTCTCCACTCCATTGAGTCCCAGGGCCTCTCCAGGGGACCCTTTCGCCCATCAGAGTAGGAGAACTTCCTACATGGCAGCTCTGAGCTCTATGAGACCAAACTTGAATCCTCCAATGCTCTGAAAGTCAGTTTATTGTTCAAAGGCTTCACAGCCAGCTCAGGTTCAGGGGCACCATGTTCAGGCTCTGAGGACAATGTCAAGGAATTTCAGCCATTATTATCCATTATGTCTTTGTTTTCCACAACGGAGAGGCCCAGGCTCTGAAAGGCAGCAAGACAGGGAGGGGAGTCCAGTGGCAGCCCTGCAGCAGCCTTAATGGGCACCATTGCAGAACAGCTGCCACCACCCCACCCATGTCTACCAGCCTTATCTCCCAGGAGGGATCCAGTGGAAGGAATTCTTGCAGTTACTTCTCTCCTTCCTCCTCCTCTTGGCCAAGATGAAGAGGGTTACTTAATAGGGATGGCCTTTGCCACTGGGCAGACAAATTAGTGAGATCTTCTGGATGCAAAGGTTCTTGTTTGGGCTCTCCAGTCTCTAATCCATCATGCAGAGGCCATGGATCTGAGTCTCCAGCAGGCTCGGGACATTGTGGTGTCTCAGGCTGTGAGCACAGCTCCTCAGGATGGTCAGGGTCAGGACCCAGTGCTATAGGCCAAGTCCTATAGAAGTAGGTCATGTTGCTCGTTGTTGTTGTTCCTTGTCTTTCCGTCTGGATTCCTATATTGTTTTCATGTGGATGTGTCTCATCTAGAAGAATTTCTAATGGGAATCTACATCTGTCAAGAACCCACACTTCTACAGTTAATCCAGTGGGAAGGGAGAGTGTCTTTCACCCTACTCATTACTATGGAACCATTGCCCCCATCTTAACAAGGTGAGGGTTGCACACAAGGGAAGTTTCAGGAGGTCGATGAGTTAGAGTTGAAAAGCAGAGCCAATAGGAGGGCTAGACATTGCTACTGATACTTGCAGAGATGAAACTCCCAACACAGGGGGCTTGGCTGAATACTAATATGCCATTTTAAAAAAAATTAAATAAAAAAATTTTTATTTAATTTTAGTTGACATCATTGTGTATGTTTATGAGGCACGGCATGATATTTTGATACCTATTTACAATGTGTAATGATCAAATTAGAGTAATTAATATTTTGTCCTCTAAAATATTTATCATTTCTTTGTGGTTTAGAGTATCTGAAATTCTCTTACAGTTTTTTGAAATATATAACCATTATTGACTCTAGTAGCTCTAGGTGGCAATAGAATGCCAGAATTTATTCCCCCTAAGTCACTAATTCTGTGCCTGTTGATCGGTCTCCCTTTGTCTCCCCCTGATCACTTTCCCCCAGCCTATGGCAGCCACTATTCTACTCTATGAAATTAGCTTATTCTGATTTCACAAGTGAGTGGAAATGTACAGTATTTGTCTTTCTGTGGCTGGTTTAATTTGTTTAACATTGTGTCTTCCAGGTTCATCCATGTTGCCACAAATGACAAGATTTCCTTCTTTTTATGATACATAATATTCTATTATATGTATACATACAATATTTTCTTTCTCCATTCATCTGTTGGTGGACACTTAGGTTGATTCCATTTCTTGGCTATTGTGAATGATGCTGTGATAAGCATGCAAATGCAGGCATTTCCTCAACATATTGATTTCAATTTCTTTGGATAAGTGCCTCTCAGGAATTCTCATTACTGCCCACTGACTCCTATGCCCTGCAAAATTACATATGTACGAGACAGGTCCAAGTGCTCTGGCTGACAAAAGCAACTACAAAATGAGGTTCAAATTAGACAGATGTCATGGGATTTATATACCTTGTAGTCAGAATAGCGCCCTAGGAGGTCA